TTTGGGTGGGGTTGGTTACTCAGAATTTGGATAAAAGTGGCAGAAATGGGGTTAAAATGGTGCAGAATGGGCGTGGTCACAGTGGGCGTGGTCACAGTGGGTGGGGTCACGGGGTGGGCGTCACGGAGATTTTGGGTGGGGTTGGTTACTCAGAATTTGGATAAAAGTGGCAGAAATGGGGTTAAAATGGTGCAGGATGGGCGTGGTCACAGTGGGCGTGGTCACAGTGGTGGGCGGGGTCACGGGGTGGGCGTGGCGGAGATTTTGGGTGGGGTTTGGTTATTCAGAATTTTGCCAAAAGTGGCAGAAATGGGGTTAAAATGGTGCAGAATGGGCGTGGCCAGGGATTGGGCGTGGTCACAGTGGGTGTGGTCACCGGGGTGGGCGTGGTGGAGATTTTGGGTGGGGTTGGTTATTCAGAATTTGGATAAAAGTGGCAGAAATCGGGTTAAAATGGTGCAGAATGGGCGTGGTCAGGGTGTGGGTGTGGCCCCGTGGGCGTGGTCACAGTGGTGGGCGGGGTCACGGCGTGGGCATGGTGGAGATTTTGGGTGGGGTTGGTTACTCAGAATTTTGATAAAAGTGGCAGAAATGGTGTTAAAATGGTGCAGAATGGGCGTGGTCACAGTGGGCGTGGTCACAGTGGGCGGAGTCACGGGGTGGGCGTGGCGGAGATTTTGGGTGGGGTTGGTTATTCAGAATTTTACCAAAAGTGGCAGAAATGGGGTTAAAGTGATGCAGAATGGGCGTGGTCAGGGTGTGGGTGTGGCCCCGTGGGCGTGTTCACAGTGGGCGTGGTCTCAGTAGTGGGCGGGGTCACGGGGTGGGCGTGGCGGAGATTTTGGGTGGGGTTGCTTATTCAGAATTTGGATAAAAGTGGCGGATTTGGGGTTGAAATGGTGCAGAATGGGCGTGGTCAGGGTGTGGGTGTGGCCCTGTGGGCGGGGCCACAGTGGGCGTGTTCACGGCGTGGGCGGAGTCACGGTGTGGGCGTGGTGGATATTTTGGGTGGGGTTGGTTACTCAGAATTTGGATAAAAGTGGCAGAAATGGGGTTAAAATGGTGCAGAATGGGCGTGGTCACAGTGGGCGTGGTC